TCACTACCTGGCGATTTATACCGTTTCAATTTTGCAATAGCACTTTCAACCTCAAAAGGGCTAGGATCAGGCATTATCCGCTTATCTGTATGCATTTCTATCTGCCTGACATCACTGACCCTATGTACATTCAATAACTGAGGGAAGTAGTTCCTCCGCCCATTCAAAATGTTGTGGGAATCTGCAAGCAGATCATCATTCTCATCCTTCACTAAGTTACTTCTAGATTGGTAACCCCTCTTAAAGTCATTTATTCCTCTATACAGGCCTCTAATGATCTTGTTCTTACTGTTGATTGCAAGTTCATCAATTTTGTCTTTCAGATATTCCCTCTGAAAAATATATAGAGACACAAGAAACCCCATTTGCGATGTAATACTACAATTTTTAAGCGAGGCGCCAATGCATAGTTGCATATACAGCAGAGAAACACACAGACACAGTTCAGTCTGGTCACACCATCACCACGTATAACCATTTTATCAATTTAATACTACTAGCTTTCTCGGGGCCATACTTAACAACTTCTGTTTATGTTCCTTCCATATCTGACCTCGAAACTCTACAGTTTATGTCGTTTAATTCCGTCGGTTCGGCAGAATCCGTATTGCTTTCATCAAGGGCTGATTTTAAGAACTTCTCTCCAGTTTTAAGGCACACATTTAATCTCATTTTCTTGAAAGTAAGGAGAAATGGAAAGAGGCGAATGTTGCCCGCATCTTCAAGAAAGGCAACAGCGCTCTTATGACTGTGTCTGTCAAGATCACCAGACCTGACGCCACCTGATTTCTTGTGGATTTTGCTGAAGGGCCGTATATACAGCAATAAACCGCGAACAACTGACGCCTTCAAAGACGCGATACGGTGGAACATTGCTGCTGTTATCGATGTCACATTGCCGGATGCCTTGGTCAATTTGCAGGCTCGCATACAAAAGTGTTCGGATGCTGGAGGGGACAATTTTAAGCATATGCTCTAGGCAGACCTTATTTTGCAACATACAAGGTAAGTACATATCAGTTTTCGTAGGGAACCACACAAAAATTAAGAACTTACAGAGGAAAGTTCGGGTTTCCTAACGAGAGAATCGTCCTGTATGTTAAATATCTGCTCTTCTAGCAAAAATTGTCCTCCTGCAAAATGCGCTTCAGTTGCTTATGCTGTTTTGTACGGACGTTGACGTATTTTGAACCAAAACGTTTCTCTTAGTCATATTTTGTAATTTGATTTTTTAATTACAAATGCTAATCAACTGCGTCCAGTGTGACTGATAAAATGTTTTTCTTTATTTCCTTTTTGATCTTTCATCTGTGACATGTTTCGGTCTTAGAGACCATCTTCAGAAGGATAAATCAATGCGGGCAGAAACTACTATTACAATACGTTTGCTCAATATCAGTACATACATGCAATATCATCACAATGCCATGAATAATATTTGATCTTTTAACAACTACGACGACGTGCATAAACACATCAAAATATTTATAAATTATTAAAATTAGTTTCTTTACAAGTTTTGTTTTAAATAGAATTTGTTAAAACTTTAGGACCAATTTGGTTCGTACCCTTTATACTGCCTCTCTTTAAAAGAAGTTAAGTGTCTACCACCCCGTGGGTCCCTTGTGTGACGAATAGGACTCTGCAAATATATTATGGGTATAATGAAGTATTTCCATAATCCCAATTTCTTTATTTAAATGTGAGCTTTTGTTATTTTATCCCACCTTCAGTGTTGTCCTCTTGTTCGGGCCTACACAGGAAATTATATACGAAAAATCACAAAACATTTAAAAAAATTCCAACATAGAAGATAGCCTTGAAAACAACTTCCGCCATAGGTAAATTAGTAAACTAGAAGCTAGAAACAAACCCTTACGAATAAAGTGGGATATGCAAAATAACCTGCCAAAGCTGCCATGAAGTATACATTGGCCAAACTGGTATAAATCTAACAACAAAATATAAAGAACACATAAGAAACACAAGATTTAACAAAGAAAAATCAGCTTTTGCCTAACATATACTAAATAAACGCCACAGTATGGACCTATGAAAGTAATCATGGAAATGGTTGAAAATGCTAAAAAAGGGAACCTCATTAATATAAAAGAAAACTTCTACTGTATCACTTTAATAAACTTAATAAATTGATAGAAGAACAAAACCTACATGAGAGAGTGATAACCAGTACAGTATGTTCGACATCATAATAAAACATCAGTACACGCCCACACAAACGTCATAAGGCACAAGGAGTATAAATACGCGACTCAACACACGTCAGAACACTGTAACAACACAACGTGGCCCGAACAGCAGGACAACACTCAAGGTGGGATAAAATAACAAAAACTCGCATTTATATTTAAAAAATCTGGATTATGAAATTCTACATTATACCCATAATATATCTGCATATTCATCAAACAATGGAACCGCGACGTGCTACACACAACGTCCTTTAAAGGAAGGCAGTAAGAGGACACGAACCAAATTGGTTCTCAATTCTAGCAAAACCTATTTTAAACGAAACTTGTAAAGACACTAATTATAATAATTTATAAATATTTAATGTGTTCATTCACGTCGTCGTAGTTGTTAGAAGATCAGATTTTATTCATGGCATTGTGATGATATTGTATGTACGAATTGATATTGACCAAACACATTCTGATGGTAGTTTCTGTCCGTATTCTTTCTGAAGATGGTCTTTAAGACCGAAACATGTCAAGGATATATTATTTAAGAGGAATCAAAGAAAAGACATTTATCAGTCACACTGGATGGGTTGATTAACGTTTATAATATTGCTAGCGTGACGGACCAGGATGAACCAAATTATTATGACCCATACCTCAACCCGCAGTGTGTCTTCATGGCATAGCGCTTAAGTAATTACCTACACGAACTTTACCGTTCACCTTTGAATTTTAATTGTATTCAACCGCATCGTGTTTGGCGTGATCCCTCTAATTGAATTGTTATTGTCTATATTACAGACGTTGCCCTCTTTGGTTTGCACGTATGTGTGTGTATTTGGATGACGTTGCTCGTGCTTACTTTATCGCTTGCCTTTGGGCTGTTGCGTAAGCAAGTAAATAAATAAGGATATTAATTGAATTGAGCTATTAAAACAAACTCCGTGGTTTTATTCCGCAAGCGAACTGTACCGACCGAGCGACCGCCGCTTGTCGGCGAAGTTAGTGGCAACTTTAGCGGATATAGGGTGTCGCGTGGTCAGTGCAAAGATTCCCCAAGTGCGTTAATTTCGGTTTTCTAGACTGGAGCCGCTATTTCCTTGAAATGGCTCCTCAATTATCCTCACGAGACTGAGTGAACCCCGTTCAAGACCCACTACTTCTCAGAAAATCTGGTACTATAAATGTTTTTTTTTCCCTTGGCACTACACCCCAGTTGGCATAGGCCTACCTCCATGAACTCCGTTCACTTCGGTTTTTCTAGATCTTACACATTTGGTAGGACTCCTTGGGCGGGTGATCAACTCGTCGCAAGGCTTCTTACCTGTACACAAACACAGAAAAACGCACACACAGAAACTAAACATCCATGCCCTGAGTGGGATTCGAACCCACGATCCCGGTTTCCAAGCGAGCGAAGACAGTACATGCCTTAGTCCGCTCGGCTACCGTGACCGGCACTGTTACTGTTACTAATGTTAAAGACCTAGGAGCTGTCTCCATCGTCATACTGATCGCAGTATTTCTCAGGGTTTAAAGGTACTGGCTTTCATCTGACATCTCTACAATCATGCTGTTTTGTGTGGTCCAGACGTGAGTATGTTTTCCTTGCTTGAACTTCAGTTACACTGACGGATGCATGAAATCAAAATCCTAAGATAATTTGGAGTCTCATGCTATAGCGTCATATTACAATATAAGAAGGCAAGTTAGGATAAATTTCCGAAGGCCTTATTCCTGCTGCAGAATTCGATTGCTAATTTCTCGATAATATTTTAAAACACAAAATTAACTGTCCATCCATTCTAGTTCCCTTTAGGTTACTGATACTTACAAGGACAATGAGAGACCTTCAATGTGCACAGGCAGTTCAGCAGCTGGTAATTAATTTGCAGGAACGCTACAATTAAAAAGAAATTGTTTCGCTAGCTGACATTTTCTTTCTCTTAGTGACCACTCACGTAATTTGGGTCTATAACTGTGTCATTTAACTACTCTTTCAGCATCGAGACTATACAGAGTGTCCCAGGAAGTCATAGCATTGGCCGTTCTAAGCAAACGTGTACGTGTGCTATTCCGAAAGGGTTCTAAGAAAGATCTATTTCAATGTACAGTTCCAAAACTGTTGATAAGAAAGATATATTATGTTCAGTTTCTGATACCGGTATTTAATGTTCAAGTGACAAAGTTAGTGCAGTTTACCTAGTATAATACATTTTGGATAATTACACCGTCAGCATCAATGCACTTGGCGTGTTGCTCGTGTGTACAGTGAAATAACTCTATCTCGCAAACCGTTCGGAATAGGACACATACATTGTTTTGCTTACAATGACCAATAGTATGACCTCCCAGAATACTATCCTTTGCTCCTGGGACACCTATATAGAGGCCAGTGACAGGATAACTCAAGAATGATGAATTGGAATGGATTTGGAAGGAAGCGATCAGGGACTGACGGAAGTACTCTCCCGGAATTTGTTTGGAAGGACTGCGGAAAACCACAAAATACACCCTCAGGATTATATCGTTCCGTAATGTAGGCCTGTGACCTATCCTCATTGTGTGCATGGGTTTCACCTCGTTTCCATGGCACTGCTGTATCTTGTATTTCCTGTACCTTACCTTCTTTCAGTGCTTGTCTGTAACTGTCTGTACATTGGTCAACCTATGGACAGTGTAACAGCTGTGACGTAACACGCTTATTATTCTGCGATACCCTTGTGTTAGTTGGTGGAGGGGATAGCCTTTACACCATGAAGACAAAACCTGATGTCCGTCCAGTGATATAGTGCCTGTTGTTTGAACAAGGTGAACCAGCATGAGTAACATCGGTTCGAGCTCCAACCCGAGCGCGAACAATCGGAGGTTCGGAGACAAGGTTGGTGTGATTCTGTGACATGGCTCAGCTTGGCAAAGAATCTATCCATATTTATTTATTTATTTTATACGCTTTCTATTGTGCATACCTCCTGCGTTGACGCAAGCCAAATGTCCATTTTTAGATGTTTACACCCACAGTTCCTATTTTATCCTTCAGGTATGTTTGTTTCAAATTGTAACCGGCTTCCAGTCTTACAACTATGTTCCCCTGGACAGTTAACGTGATCTGCAAACAAGAGAGTAAATTACAAAGCAACGAAGATTTCTCGGATAAGCTGGGCTTTATTCGGTGCAAAGAGAGTGTGTATACATATGTTCGCACGTCTCTTTAGTCACTAGGGCTACTCACTGAATAAGGAGTCGTGGCAGCAGGCAAGGGGCGTTCCTCCAGCTTTGGATTTTGGATGAGGGCTAATAACCCATCACGGTAAAAATCCAACATGTTACACGTTACACAGTGCTTCGGATCTAGCCGGCTCCTGTGGAACGGCCAGAAACAGAGAAGGGACATTAACGGAAACGGGGGTGATGTATTTAATGCAAAATTAATGAACCTGAAACAGACTAGCAGAGACTTTTAGAGGAGTAGAAATGAAATTAACAAAGTTAGAACTATATCGGCAAGTGATGGGAAGGCTGACCTTGGAGGTTCGTGTCGGCTTAATGATGCGGGACAGGCTGAACCTTTGGTATCTCTGCCTGAAACTTTTGAGGTTCAGCCTGCTATCCAGAAGTTGGAAAGTTATTAGACACCAGGTGTTTTTAAAATTCCAGGAGAATTGATCCAAGCAGGGCGTAAATATTACGTCCTGAGATCGAGAAACATTTTAATTCTGCTCGGAAGCAGGAGGTGTCATCTCACCAGAGTAAGGAGACAAGACGGGTCCTAAACTGACTGTAGTTATTAACGAGAGTGCCGATCACAGTGAGCGCGGTCTAATGCAAGAAATGTTTTCTACCGCTCAAACATTGGGATCGTGGGTTCGAAACCGACTTGAGGCATGGATATTTATTCTGTGTTTGTTCTGCCCTGTGTGGAGGTAGCGGCCTTGCGACGGGCTGATCACTCGTCCGACGAGTCCTACCGACTGTGTGAATGAGCAAGAAACTGAAAAAGCGGCCAAGGTCCAAGAAAGGACTGTAAAGCCATTGATAGGTATTAACAATGACTTTCACTCTTATCAACTTCACAGGGGACTTTATGCAGCATACTTATGTAAAGTTTAAATTCATTAGTAGGCGAAGTATGTTGAGGGCCATCAGTATGAATATCGACATAGCAGTTCAAATATTGATCTGATTTTCTGTGTTCGTTTCATATTGGAGAAAGAATGGTAGTGTAATGGCTTGGTACATCAGACTTCAAGAAAGCGTATGATTTATTCAGTAGGGAAGTATTACACAATTCTGCTCTAGAGTATGGCACGAAAATATTTCGGCTACATTCAATGTTTAAATGAAGTCATAAAGTCCATGTAGGTAATAGTAAGTACTGGGAAGTACTAATAGCCTAATCTCCTTTGATATTACACGGACCCCATAGAAAATGACATATCCAACAATTTTTCTATTGTTTCATGTGTATTCTTTGCCGCGGTAACGTTCCTACGGAGCCTTTGCCCAAAAAGGATAGGGGAATACGCATACCGACACACACTGTCGGGAGGGATTTATGAAGTACGCCATTGAGATGGAGTCAAGTGCCATGATATACATACAAAGTTTAATACAGATTGGTTGAGCCATTCCGAAGTTGATAAGGGGGGTACGCAGACACAGAGAATAATGATGGAATGAGCCTACTTTTATTTTTTCAAAATAAGAAATGCAAGCTAAATATTTAACTGTTATGTTTCATATTCAAAATGGTTAGAAGTAAAGAGATGCTTTATGACCATTATATTTTCGTCTTTGCTGTAGAATATGCAATCTGGGAGAAAGCTCCAACCACGAGAGACTAAAACTGAATAGGACACATCAACTGCTGGTCTCCGCTGTCGATATTAATTTATTTGGGGATACTATGAAGGACATAATGAAGAACATGAGACTGAGTAAACTCTCGTCACTAGAGTGTGAAACAGACCTGTAGCACAAATACACGGTGTGTCCAGGATCCGTTAGGAATCATTTTTTTTTATTTTACCCTGCAATGCCATCTGTTGGCGAGTTGTGGCGTTAAGATTTTTCAAGTTTCAGCTGTAGCTGTCTATGTTTTCAAGCGCAAGCATGGCTTCATCATGTGTTCTTACTTTGAATGTAACAGTACTGTTCTGACGCTCTTCGGAAAATGGCGGTTGAACAGAGAGCCAACATTAAATTTTGTTTGAAGTTATGCAAAACAGACGGAGAGACGTACGAAATGATGAAAAGTGTGTACGGTAGTCATTGTTTGAGTCGCTCGAACATTTTTCGGTGGTATGCTGTATTTCGTGACGGCAGGGAGGACATTGAAGACGCTCCACGTGCATCACAGCCGAGAACAAGTCGCACTGAAGAAAATGTGAAAGAAGTGACCGAAATCCTTGCATCAGACAGATGTGTTTCTGCAAGACTCATCGAGGAGCTTTTGGGAATAGCAAAAAGTACTGTGCATCAAATTGTAACTGAGGACACTGCTGACCGTTTTCTTCGATTCCAAAGGAATCATTCACAAGGAATGTCTGCCAGAAGCTCAGACAGTGAATACTGAGTATTATCTCGGAGTCCTCAATCTTTTGTTGGCGAGAATTTTTCGAATTCGACCTGAATATCCAGAGCAAGGTTCCTGGACGCTCCTCCACGACAATGCGCCACCCCACAAATCGAAGATCGTGCGTGATTATTTGGCCAGAAAAGGGATAAAAGTCCTTGATCATCCTCCGTATTCGCCAGATTTGGCTCCAGCAGATTTCTGGTTGTTCCCAAAAGTTAAGTTGGCGATGAAAGGAGACCGTCACGACACTATCCAGGACACCCAAAGGGAATCTACCGTAGTTTTAAATGCTATTCCGCAAATGGAGTACAGTGACTGTTTTCGAAAACTTTTCAATCGATTCCAGCTATGTATTGATTCAGAAGGAGACTATTTTGAATAAAAAGATTGAAATTTTGAAAATAATTTAAGTCTTGTATTTTTAACGAACACAGTCCTAACAGAATCTGGACACACTGTATATAGCCAACACATTTATTGAAAAGTGTGGCAAAGTGCCAATATTTAGGACTGACGCTACATGAGGATGTGAGGGGCAGATTGTATTCGGGGAACGCCTCTGACCATTTCTTGTCTTCCCATCTCCTGTGTAACATACAAAAGTGTATTTTCATCTGTTCTTAATGGATTTGAGACTCGGTCTGTCACATGAGGGGAAAAACATAATCTAAAGATGTGTGAGAACAGCCCGTTGAGGACAATATTTAGATCGCAAAGGGATTAAGCAACAGGAGGCTGGAGAAACCTGCATAACGAGGAGCTTCACTAGTAGTCAGGTATCGGTAAGTAAAGAAAAGCTATTCCTATAACAGGCCGTGAAGGCCCATAGGATTGTGAGATGTTGAGGGTCCCAAATTATCTAGAAAATCGGCTCAAAGACAGCGGTAAGATTGTCAGCCTTACGAGCCGGCCGCGCTTTACTCAGTAGTATGGTCAAATCAAGAAGAATGAGATGGGTGGGACGTGTAGCGCACATGGGACAAAAGAGAAATGTGTATGTTTTGGCAGCGAAGGAAGGATAATATTGTAACGTGGATGGCCAGAGCGTAGCTGGGTAAGGGAACGGTAAGCATACGCGAAACAGGCTGACAACAGTGAAACAATGAGCTTATGCAACACACTTCTAGGCAGTGGTTCAGTAAACAGCCTTCCCCGCAGGCGCAATGACGTCACACCGCAACAGTGGTAGCTATCAAGTAGATGGCATTCTATGGAGTGCTGCTACCGTTGCTATGCAATTGCTCGGTAAACACGTTCTAACAATATAGGCTGTGCTCTGCGTGGTCAGTGCGGAAGCTATATAACGACAGTAACATACAGAACAGATTTCAGTATTTGGGGGGTGCTTGAGAGTGCATAAGTGTTTAAGGGACAGTGACAGCCATTGGAATTTCGTCATATGAAAACTTGGCGTGCGATTGGAAGACTTTAATTATATGTGATTCTTGGAGTGATCTGAAGTTCTAGTTCCTGTGATTTGAAGTTACAGTTTCTCTATAGAGATCCGTTGCTAGGAGACGACTAGAGGAAGACTGAGAATCCTAGTGCGTGTGCAACGGTGAGTTGGAAAGTATGTAGTTCAGGGACAGCGCTGTATTACCTGTATCTAAGTACAACTAAAGAGGTTATGACTAAGCTGCTAATAAATCCAATCATCCCAATTAGAACTCGTCATTTCATCATACACGTGACAATATTAATGTGGATCATAAAGTGCTGCAGAAGGAGGCTATGGACTGGATTAATCTAGTTCAGAGTAGGGGCAAGTGGCATGCTGTTGTGAATATGGTAACGAGGCTTCGTGTTCCATAAAATGCTGAGAACTACATAGCTGGGCAGTCAGTCCTTCAATCAGTCAGCTAATTCGAACTTTATTTTCAACATATTTCTCAGACCATTAAGTTGTTGCATTTAGTTCTCACCGTTAAATTTTCCTTCGCTTTAAAGAATCTTTTGATATCATATTTCAGTAGAGTTAGGTATAAAACTGAATATATCTCTGTTGTAAGGAATTCCAGTAAATAATCTAACAGACATGGACAAAGCTGAATGAATTCAATACAAATTTGTAGCACTTTGTTACAACTGTTTTTACACTATCTTCAATCTAACAGTGCTAGTGGCTTAGATGACCTGTAGTTTCATATTTGTGTACTAGAATCCGCTGCTTAGATGCTAGTCAAAGCTTGGTTCCTATCTTTTGGGAACTGTTGGTTTACTTGTTTCCTCTAGAAATATCAGAGATTTTTTCTTACCCAATGTTGGTACCTCATTCATTACTGTTTCCGCTGCTTGTTCATTGG